AAGTGTGAGGAGCAGTGGCCTAAAATTTCTTACCCATGTGTACAAGGAGATACCATAAAAACATTCAATGCAGTATTTCTCTAGAGTAGCCAAAAGTTATGTTATAAACAATCTAAACTTTAACGAACAAATAAAATGTAGTATAGATAAACAAAATAGGATACCACACAGAGTTTTAAGATACTTACACTACATTTGTGGATATCAACATGGGGGGAGAAGATCTCAAAGATACAATGAATGTAAAAGTAAGATGCAGACATACACATGAAAATCACTGATAAAAATTTTTAAACATACATAACAATACCACTTGACATTCACATATGTAGTTATAGGAACATATGCTGAGAACACCTCTGGGGAAAAATGAAGAGAAAGGACTGTGAAGAAATAGGACAGTGAACTTCAACTGCATACATAATGCTTCACTTCCAGAAGCAATAAAACCTAATATAGAAGAATGTTAAGATACGACTATCTTGATATTTAATAAGTACTCATTTAATTATTATCTATCATTCTCTTGTACGTTTCATTAAAACCTTCAATGAGGTTTTTTAAAGAATTATCAAAACATGTAAAGAATTGCTGAATCACTATATTGTACACCTAAAACTAATATAACACTGTATGTTAACTATACTGGAATAAAAATTACAAACTTAAAAAAAAATTACCAAAACAAATAAGCAAATTACAAATTACCAAAGCAAATATATCTGCAATGGCAAACAAATTCCCCAATTTAAGGGCGCCTGGGTGGCTCAGTCGTTAAGCATCTGCCTTCGGCTCCGGTCATCATTCCAGGGTCCTGGTATCAAGTCCCTCATCGGGCTCCCTGCTCAGCAGGAAGCCTGCTTCTCCCTCTCCCATTCCCCCTGCTTCTGTTCCCTCTCTCGCTGTCTCTCTCTGTCAAATAAATAAAAATCTTAAAAAAAAAAAAAAATTCCTCAATGTGAAAAGAGCTATTACAAAATCACTAAGAAACACATTACATGAACAAGCAGTTAAGAAACCATAACACCAAAATATACTCAACCATAATTTTAAAATGCAAAATAATGAAGTACCATTTTTCATCTAATTGCAGATTAAAAAATGTGAAAACATCCAGTGTTGCCAAAACTGAGAACACTAGACCCCTCATAAAATTCTGATGGGATTATAAATAAGTATAACCTTTTTTTTTTTTTAAGTAGGCTCCACACCCAGCATGTAGCCCAACACAAAGCTTGAACTCAGGACCCTGAGATCACGACCTGAACTGAAATCCAGAGTAGGACACTTAACCGACTAAACCACCCAGGCACCCCAATACAACCTTTTTGAGAGCTATTAGACATTACCTACCAAAATGTACAAACCCTCTGATCCACTGATTCTACTAAGAATTTACCCTACAAATGTATTCAAGAGATGCCTAGACAATCCTGCAGCTTAGTCCATTAATTGGTAAACTAAGTAAATAATATATATAGATCCACTCAAAGATTTCATAGACACTGAAAAGTTAGATCCGTAAGCAGTGATGATAGATATTGGAGATGCCATCTCTAAAGTGAAAAAAATTTTTTTTATCCAAACCAGGATAAAAATACATTCTGGTGTATGCATAAAAGCATCCTAATATTCACTTTTGAAAATCAATCTACTACCTAACAGTCGAGAAAAGAAATTTATTAACTTGATAAACATTAAAGTCAGGCAAACATGGATTCATAACCTAGCTCCAGCACTTTGGGGCACATTACTTACCTCTCTCAACCTCAGTTCCCTCCTTTGTATATGGGAGAAAGAAAACAGAGAATTTACCTCTTACGTTTTTGGTTGGTATTCACATGAACTGTTTTATACAATCATTGGTACTCCTTTGTATATGGTAGAAAGAAAACAGAATTTACCTCATGTTTTTTCGTTGGTATTCACATGAACTATTTTATACAATCATTGGTACGTACTCAAAAAAAAAAAAGATACTACCATGAGCAAGAAAGAGACCCTCTCTATCCTTTTACCGTCTTTATCCCTTTACATACTTAAAACCTTTTTCTGCATTCCTTTAAAAAATAATTTAGCAATTTTTTCTTGGACGCCCGAAGTATGAGTCACTAGTTAACAAAAACTCTACATAGTAAATAAGAAGTTTCAATGAACTCCACTACCAGTCTGACTGAATTTTCTGATCTTCTCTTAGCCTGAACTTTAAATACACATTTTCAACGCAAGCCAAGAGTTTACGCATTATTCAAATAAATTTTGGTAAAATATTAATGACTATTTTTTAGATGCTGCAGTAAAAGAATCCATAATGCGCTAATAACACTCTAGCCATAGAAGTAATTACAAAATATTGAATATGAATTTACTGTAGTGGAATGTCATCAAACAGGTCTGTATTATTTTGTACTTAAAAAGAATAAAAATTCCTGTATTTTCTATTTTGTACCACATATCTGCTCTTTCAGTATCACATCCCCGCCATCAACCACCTTCTCCCCCACCTTTTTTAGTAGGCTCCACACAACCAACATGGGGCTTAAGTTCACCACCCCGAGACCAAGAGTTACACGCTTTTCCAAATAAGCCAGGCAGGTGCCCCAGGAATCTTCCTCCTTCTAACAATACTATGAAAGGATACCCCAACCTGATTACAGGGATTGATTTATCACCCTTCCTACGGTAAGATGACCAGAAGCAGCATCTAAAACAAAGAGATATCTAAACTTTTCCAGCATCTACAACCATTTCAGTTCAGTATTGCTTGAATAATAAAAATATTACCCAAAATTTAACTCAGAAACTATTAAAGGATGGTAGTATCAGTAGAAATTTACATTTTCTAATAAAGAAAACAGAAAACCACAAGAGAAAACATTAGTGCACCACAGATGTATGACTATTATTTTAGTTATACCTATGTGTATACAAAACATTACGTAAAATTTACTTTTTATTGGGTCCCAATCAACAGCTCAAACGTCAATGCCCTATGCCACATATAACTCAACCACATGCAGTTTAAAATTTCACCACATGATGGGGCTAAAATTCTACACACCTCAGAAAACTACTAAAGTCCACTTCTAAAAATATCTTTTTATTTCAAGTCCTCATGCCTTTGAACAATAAATAAAGACTTCCATTACACTGAAATAGAGAACCCCACAGTAAATTAGTCTGTTCCATTTATTCAGTGTAAGATTAAAAGGGCTCTGGCAGAAATAAGAGGTTAATTATAAACGAGAACCCATGAATAGTGATTTGGAGACATGAAAGGATAAGATGGAAGGTGTAAGAAGTCATTACTAAAAGGTCTGCATTTGTCAAAACCACACTGGGTAACGTCTAAAGAAATAATTTCAAGTACTGCTAGTTAAGAGTTCAAATAAATACCATTTTCTGTAGGTAATCTAGAATAGGTTAGAATAAGTGAGATTTAGAGGTGACAATCCCAATTCTCAAAATCATCATTCATGAAGACCTATATCCAAACTAAGGGTCAGGTTCTGCAAACTGGAAAGCAGTAAGGATTTCACCACCTAAAGCAACAGTTAACCAACAGTCAATCTTAATCAATCTGATTTACATCTGAATGAAGACAAAAATTATTCTCAATTTTATTGTTTTGTAACTAACTTTCCAGGTGCTAATTTTTTATCAATTTTATCAATTCCCTTGAAAATGAAAACAAGTCTTATACTTATTTCAGATAAAGTAAACAATAGAAAAAAGAAGTAAAGGTGGGTGGCAGGAAACTATGTAGTCAAGCTCTTAGGCAGGCCTGAAAAAAAATAAGCCTGCTAGAGGGCTACATTAGAGAAGCTGGGTTTACAAGGAAGTGGGGAGGGGAGTAAACTACACAGACCTACACCTAAGAGGAAAGGGGACAATCAGAGAATCTCTAAGACGTGATCTCAGCAGCTTAATCAATATAAGTCTCCATTTCCTAACAATTTCAAATCCCACTGCACAGGCTATGAAATGAAATATTTAATCATTTGACAGCATTCCAAAATGAGACCTATGTAATGAGTACAGAATAGGAAATGCATCCTGGATTCTAGTCTAGGCTCACAGTATTTGAAAAATATGAAAAATAGGCAAGTCAATTAACCTTCCAGAGAATCCATCTGTACAAAATTACGGGCCAAAATTTGGGCCAATCTATTATGATCTGACAAGTCCTTACTGGGGAAGAACTTTCCAAATTATAAAAACTGTTCCCACAAGAGTTGCTTTTAATAAACTTGTTTTTTTTTTTTAAGAACTGTCTGTACCCCAAAAGTTCCTAGATGAACGCCTTAGCATGGTAGAGCATGATTAATAGGCAAACAGATGATCAAGACTCTCCCTTGATTCCTTTGCACTATGGAAAAAACAAAGTCAAAGACAGCTATTAAGCCAGTTAGATTGATTCTAACCAATTCCAAGGTCTCTCTTACCAAGTCTTTTAAGTGGAAGACAAAACTGCAATGCCTAGCAAGTCTTATACAAACTCTTGTTCTGATTTTTAAGTAAAATGAACATTTCTTAGATTACGGAGGCCTGATACGTAACAATGTTGCAAAGTTTTCATCGCTCCTGAAATTTTAGTGATGTGCCATTCAAAGTCTTATTTGTCTGAAAAAGAAATCTTCTGGGTATAAGCAAAGACCTCAAAAGCCTCAGATTTTTCTTTTAATGTATTACCTACAGTAAGTAAAGCAAGTTATTATCTAAGGAATAGTACAGATAAAGGTAATAAGATACAATGTATCTAATGGGTTTGAGTTAAAATGTGTGGACCCCTGGTTAGTACAAAAGACAACTGAAGTAAATGGTACAGTATGGTGATGGAAAACTGACTTTTTAAATAATAAAAACTAACAGATTCCCTATGAAATAGATAGTAATACAAGAAAATTTTCTCCACAAAATTAAGGCTTCACGTTCCAACTACATTTGCGTACAAGAAGAAATGAGAAGCAGACACAAAGACAGAAGGAAATGCAGAGTACCTTTGTTGATGATGGTGGAGTAGGAAAATTAAGCCAGGCTGGAGCAAAGTCATGCTGCGCCATTTAGGTCCAGTCTCTCCAACTCAGTGAAACAAGGCTTCAACACCTCATGGCAAGTCCCTGTCATATAAAAATGGAAGGAAATTAGACCTGGAGCTCCTTGCCAAAATTATCTTCTTATGCTCTATCTCCTCTAAGCGACAATGATTTTACTACTCTAAGATTCCAATTATGATGAAATTCTAAAATAGGCAAAAATATAACAGAAACTAGATCACTGGAGTGGATGGGGGGAGAGGGCCTGTGGGGGAGGGGTATGACTGCAAAGGGAAGGTTATTCTTGAGGTAATGGGGGTTTTATCTTGACTGTGGTTATACAAATGTACAAATCTGTCAAAAATCAAATTGAATACTTAATATTGGCCAATTTTGCTATAAATAATCCCAGGAAACCTTTTTTTTTTTAAATTACAATGGTCTAATCACAGACATCAAGTGCCTCTAGATGTGACAAACTAGGATGCACATTATACCATCTATAATATATTTTCACCCCTAACCCAGATGGAATCTGAAATCTGACCTACTAACTTTCACGAAGTTCAACACAGAGAAACAAATTAAAGGAAATCTGAGGGAAGTAATCCAGCAAATCCAGATCACAGGATACTCGACAGGTGAAATGATCGTTTTTTCCCCCCCAACAAATACATGGCTTTCAACATGCAGATCAAACACATGTGGGCCTTACACAGATCCTCACTCAAACCAACCTTTAAAAAATGAAAATTAGGAAACAATCAAAAATTTAAACATGAACAGAACACTAAATAACATTAAGAAATTATTACTCATTTTAGATGTGACAATGATAGTATGATGGTGGTAAATAAAAGACTGAAGTCTTTACAATTACACTGACGTATCTGGAATCTGTTTTAAAAACCAGATAATGCTAAATGGGGCTAACTGAAAATAGGTTGCACATATGTTTATAAATAATAGTACAAGGAGGTGTGTAAATACTCTTTTCTCTAATTATATATATGTTTGAAAATTTTCACAATGAACAGGTTTGTTGTTTTTTAGTTACAATCATCACAATGAGTACCAAATATTTTAGACACTAGTGCTTTTCTGCATTCTGATTTAACTTTTTGGGAGCCTCTATCAACTGCATCAATAAAAATTTCAAGTTGCCAGCCCAATCTAAACACCAAATTCAGTTTTTCTTTTTTTTTTTTTTCAAATAAGGCAGAAGCCAATTGGGCAACTGTACTCATTTCAATACAAAACTTAAGACTATCACACAATGAAGAAATCAAACTTTCTGTGCACCACAATGTCTGAGTTTACTCATAACAAATGTTTTATAGGGCGCCTGGGTGGCTCAGTTGGTTTAGCGACTGCCTTCGGCTCAGGTCATGATCCTGGAGTCCCGGGATCGAGTCCCACATCGGGCTCCCTGCTCAGCAGGGAGTCTGCTTCTCCCTCTGACCCTCTTCCCTCTCGTGCTTTCTATCTCTCATTCTCTCTCCCTCTCAAATAAATAAATAAAATCTTTAAAAAAAAAAAAACAAATGTTTTATATTTACAACTGCAGAATCTCGAAAATGAAATTTTAAAAAACAAAATCAATACCACTGTTAATCTTCCCTTTTCCAAATTCTTTCAAATATTGTTTCTATGTTTCTATGACAGACTACCAACTTGCTAAAATACTTTAAGAAAAATTCTCAAATATTATAAAATATTCTATTTTTACTATCCCAAACTGTAACAAAAGGTTAAGAGTAGGGACGTCTGGGTGGCTCGGTCCATGAAGTGGCCGCCTTCAGCTCAGGTCATGATCCCAGAGTCCTGGGATTAAGTCCCGCATGGGGCTCCTTGCTCGGCGAGGAGTCTGCTTCTCCCTCTACCTGTGCTCTCTCTCTCTCTCTCTGATAATAAATAAAATCTTTTTAAAGAAAAAAAAAAAAAAGGTTAAGAGTGGCCAGACACAAGAAATGGATACAAATGGTAACTCACCAGGGTAATGAAAATGTTTAAATGGTATAAGCTTATATGAGCCATGAGCTGAAGGTGGAAAAACCCTGATACAATCTGAGTAACCTGAGACAATCAATGCCAGTAATACATTTATGAAACAAATGTAAGAGTGTACCTACTCAAAATAAACTACAGAAAAATTCAGGCACTCTAAGCTCTAATTCTATTACCATCGTATACTACATTTTGAAGTCTTCAGAAATCAAAATGGAAACTAAAGTGTTTCTGGATGAGTAAAGGATTTTCATTACCTATTCTTACATGAAGCCTCATACTAAGCTGCTTTGTGATGTATATAATAGGATGTTACTTTCCAGTAAGCTTTTGTTGAAAAGTCCTAAAATTAGTTTCAACTAAATGGGAATGAAAAACTGCTTTTATAGTGTGTACAAAAAAAAAATTGCAGAGAATCTGAAATAAATAAAGCTAATCATTTTAAACAATCGTCAAGTGATAACTTATATACTAAAAACAATCCCTAGGAGACAAACCAATAATATTACCTATTCATTTTTGCAATGTCTTTAGAATTTTTAATTTAAATTTAGTTTTAAAAAATAAAGTATGAATAGTTAATGGCAAAAGTTTTCACGTTCTGAAAAAAGGTAAAGAACACTATCAGCTAATATTAAGGCATTTACACAAGTGAGAAGGAATCATGATAGGGCACCCCAAAATATGCTACTTTAACATAAGAATAGTTTTGAGCTGAAGGCATTTTAATTCTTGCAACTCCTTATCTTTCTAAAAGCAGAGCCTCCAAAAAGAATTTATCAGTCCCCTCCCCTGGAGCAACTCTTCCCTACAGACACACACACAAAATCAGCACCACACCCAGACATTGCCACAAACTTATCATTTCTCCCATCAATTCTCCTAAGGGCCCATTTACCTATCTTTCCAAAAAGTTATCTGTTTTTCCATAAGTGCCCTTCCCCCGCTCTCCATGGAATTAGGTAAAGAGTTGGCAAATTCTAACCACCCCCGAGTTACTCGGGAGGTAGGAGCACACTCTAAATTAAACTTGTTTGTTTTCTCTTGTTAATCTTTCTTTTGTCAGTCTAATTTACAAGGCCCCAAGCCAGGGAACCTAGTAGAAGAAATTTTACCCCCTTACCTGTATAAAGCCAAATTAAACTTTCAAAAGTGCCACCCTATCAATTTCTTTTAACTACACTTAGTGCCATCCAAATTAATTCTATCTTCCTTTCCCTGTGTAATATTAGGAGTTGAATTGTGCCCCTCCCACATATGTCCAAGTTGCAAGCCCCCCCACGTCTGAATAGAACCATTAACTGGAGATAAAGGCTTAATGAGATTAACTTAAATGAGGTTGTTAGGGTGGGCCCCAGTCCAATCCTTTGTCCTTGTAAGGGGAGGAAATTGGGACACATTGAGACACCAAGGCTGCACAGAAAGCGACCATGTGAAGAGGCAGCAAGAGGGTGGCCATCTGCAAGCCAAGGAGAGAGGTCTCAGAGGAAACCAACCATGCTGACAACTTGATCTTGGAAGCTGAGCTTCCAAAACTATGACAAAATCAATTTATTTAACCCACTCAGTTTGCAGTATTTTGTTATGGCTTCCCTAGCAAATGTTAAAAGAAATAAAAGGCCCAAAACTGACCTCTCCTAAGCCCTGCATTAACAAACCGAAAGACTTTATACCTAACCTGATTACACTTTAAGACCCTCCCAGAAAAAGGGGCACATGGGTGGCTCATAACGGTTAAGCATCTGCCTAGGCTCAGGTCATGATCCCAGGGTCCTCCGATCCAGCCCCCTGTCCAGTCTGCTGCTTCTCCTCCTCTCTCTCTGCACCAACCCCCCGCCCCCCTACCATGCACTGTCTCTCTCTCTCAGATAAATAGATAAAATATTTTTTAAAAAAATACCCTCGGGGCGCCTGGGTGGCTCAGTTAAGCGTCTGCTTTCGGCTCAGGTCATGATCCCAGGGTCCTGGGATCAAGCCTCGCATCGGGCTCCTCTGCGGGAGGCCTGCTTCTCCCTCTCCCACTCCCACTTCCCCTGCTTGTGTTCCCTCTCTCACTGTGTCTATCTCTGTCAAATGAATAAATAAAATCTTTCAAAAAAATAAATAAAATAAAAATAATAATACCCTCCCAGAAATGAAATCTTAACTGGTGAGTCTGGAATTTCCTGGTCAGCAGTAGTGAGGTAATCACCTGACAGACCCCTTCCACCATTTCCTAATGAAAGATGAGGTAATCCACTTTTTCCTTGTCCCTGGCCCTTTCTGCCTTTAAAAGTCGCCATTTTGTACAGCTCCTTAGAGCTCCTTTCTATTTGACAGATAGGATGCTGCCCCCATTCATGAAATGTTGAATAAAATCAATTTGATCTTTAAATTTACTCTGATGAATTGTTTTTTAACACAGACTAATACAAACAAGAATATCAGAAATACACTAATCAAAAATGTTTGTATGTATCAAGTGGTATTTACAGGAGACTGGGGGGATGCAAATTAGCAGTCCTATTAACGGTAATTCCAGGTTATTAGGAATCTTCCACCAGATTCCATTATACTGTCCGATGGTCCCATATGGACATAAACAATAAAGATTTTTAAATGCTGATGGCATGAAAATCCTAACTTCTAATCTCAACCTATTTACAACCAGTTAATGAACAAATACCTGAAGTCTAAAAACATCAACTGTAAGAAAATTTCTACAGGAAAAACTGATTCTGAAAAAATCCTTATGAAATATTGTACATTTTTAAGTGCATGTGCCTGACTTAAAAACCACTGAATAACTAAAAATCCAAAATAGAGTTCTTCAGATTGAAAAATGCACTCTGGCAAAAAGTACACAAATAGTAAGGTATTTCCTATTTCTTACAATGTTTTTAACTTCTGAACGCACCAAGTTTGTGCCAAATGTTTTCAATGAAAAACTCAAAACTGATTTCATCAGAATGAACACCAAACACTATCTTTATAATGGTTTACATTTCAGATACCAAAAACTTTAAAAATCACAAAGCCCGTCAAAAACATGGGGCGCCTGGGTGGCTCAGTTGGTTAAGCGACTGCCTTCCGCTCGGGTCATGATCCTGGAGTCCTGGGATGGAGTCCCACATAGGGCTCCCTGCTCAGCGGGGAGTCTGCTTCTCCCTCTGACCCTCTTCCCTCTCGTGCTCTCATTCTCTCTCTCAAATAAATAAAATCTTTTAAAAAAATGCAACATCAACAAATAGGTAAGGCATTTTAACTAATTAAGGCAGATTTTTATGAAAGAACAGGCTTCAGAGTCCAGTGGTCCTGGATTCAAATCAACTCAACCAGTTACTAGGCTGGATGACTTTGGCAAGGTAATATCAAACTGATTCTTCTCTTCACTAAAATTTAGGTGACTACGACTTACCTTCAACTTGGAAACTATTAAAGTTCTAAAAAGACATCTACCCTTTCTTACCAGATTACCTACATACAACCCTTTTAAAAAGGTGGTTTTTCATTTAGCCAAACTGCTCATAATCCTTCATTAATAAGAACCAGAAAATGACTATTCAACTTTAGTTCTCTTGAAAATAAGCCTGTGAAATGCTCCTTTCATATAAGCTTAGTTTAATATATTAATAAACTTCATTTAAAAAGTGGGTCTTCCTCTTCCTGATTCAGGACTAAAGCCATTTATATGAGGAAACACAAGAGGGTTCCAGACTGTGAAAAGTCAGAGTAGGGATGAAAGAGTATC